GCGAGCACTAGTTCCATTAGACCCGGGTTCAGGCCGCTTGATAACCCAGAATTCGTTGATCATTCATTGTGTTTGCGGTAGTGAAATTGATATTGCGATTCTGGAAGCGGAATGCGGATTGCTGTGTTATGAGTTACGAGCTGGTCCACTTGTAATGTAGGTCAGTTCTATTAAATTGGAAGTTGGGTTTTCAGACCCCGTCAAGTCACTCTCATATTTTAAAATTTACGGAATGTTCACAATGCATACTGTATAGGGTGTTATCTGCTACGTGTTTTGACCTATGATGCGGCGTTTTACCAACAGACCCCTCACCGAGGAGAATCAAAAACGGATCAAAATTGCTTACCAGCGGTGAAAGGAAACCAACCACCAAGCTGTTCACATCATTTGCAGCCATAGATACGTAGTCGTTGACACTTTTGGCGAAGTATTTATCCACCACATCAGCCAACTAACAGAGTGATAAAAAGAAACTCAATGAGTAAATAAACAATTGCGGGACAAATAGGTTTATTTGTTGGTTTAGTTTGTGTTTCATATTCGTTTTGAGACCAAAGCAGGATCAGTGTAAAATATTTATTACATATTCGTGTAATTTTGCAATGACTCTAAAGGGGGCAATCGGAGGGTTTCGTTAAACAGGTGATTCAAAAAGTGGTACCTCGTCTTTTTTAACGTTCTTATATGTTTAAGTTACATGCGATGTTCCAAAATAATACGGTTTCGGTCTTTTCTGTAAAAACGGTTTGATCTTTTGAAACGCTGAAATCACACAAATATTATGAGCAAAGTGATTGCTAAGTATTATGTTTTGTCTGACAACACTTGCTACACAGTAGTTGAAAACAACTAGCTTTCAATTTACAAGACATATTTACTATAACATGAGGAGAAAAATAACACATCACAATCGGTTTATTCAGCTGGAGGTTTTAGGTGGACTTCTGAGGTAACGAATAGCTTTTGAGAGTACAGTTTCAAAGGTTGGCGGTTGAACACTTTGTAAATGGTGTACAACGGTGGGAAGAAGGGCTCACCTTCTCTTTTTGGAAGTAGTAACCCACAACAGCGGCCACAATTGCAGCTGCCAGTAGCGCCAAAATAATTTCGTACTGAGGGACAAATAAAAAACATGTACACTTATATGAAATAAACGCTAGTGAAAATATTTCTCATTCCTACTTCAAGCCCAAACGTCGACTGTAAAAACCCCGAGTTCGAACTTTGGGGGATTCACGAATATGTGCTGCTGCTGATTCCTAACCAGGATAGAACGGGTGAACTAGCACATCAAATCGTTCCTTCGTGGTCATTGATACAGCTAAAGTGCTTAAAGAATGCACCTACATAAAACGAATGAAATCTAACACTACTTTTCTAATAAAACTTTAAAGCAATTTGCACTGTTCTTCAATCAGCTAGATTTCTAGAATTATTCCATCCATTATACTCGGGAATGTCAATTTGCTTTGGTGAGGAATATGAGCTGTTTGAAACTTAGTATGCGAAAAAAATGGTAACGGAATGATAGACCTCGAAAAACATTTGCATAGACAATTCAATGTCGTACTCATTTTCAAAGTTCTTCCTTAACTTTATGCGCAATACCACTCTCTATCTGATGACCGTTAAACAGCATCAAACAGATGTTTGGTCTTTGTTGAGATTCGTCAGCATTGTTGCGTGTCCTCGTCGGCACTAGAGCTGTAAACCGGTTTTGAATTTGAAATACTCGACTTCTGAACTCTACACGATCGACAGTCAAATTCATCACCAGTTCCTGATGTCTGTGAACAATCGAATGAATTAAAGAAAATATGTCGTGGTCTAAATCCGTAATTTGGTTCTTAAAACGGTTCGCCATTGCGTGCAGGGTGCAACTGCATCAATTTGAATGGGACAACCCGTGAACTGTGATACAAGTGCACTTGGAAAATTTTCCTAAATAATCACTCAATACGTTTATATGATTGCCCTATTTGTTATTCATCAATATCCAAAAGGTCATTCATCAAGTGATCTGAAGGCTCTGAAGTACAGCTGTTGCCTAACTGCCGTCGATCAGCATGTGGAACGCGTTGTGAGTATTTTTTATTATGGTTTGTTTCTCACTTTCAATGGACCAGAAGTGCCACAGGTCAGAGGTGATTGATTAATCGGTGTTGCATTTGCATCGGGAATAGAAGGTCAATTTGACGGCCGCTATGCGTACACAATGTCGAAACTGAAATCCGATTAAGCTAAAGGCGTTGCACAAAATCCACATAAACAAACAGTTGGTTCAGTCACGGTGTTTTATATTACCAAATATTAAATTCTGGCATGCTGTCCTTATGCCTTTCGTTTCAAATTTCTTGCGCACGATAAAAAATTTTGGTTAAACCACGACAATTACCACACAAACGCCCACTGTCAAGAATAATGCTTTCGCGTTTGAATTCCGCATATGAGACTCACCGTGTAATAAATCATTTTAGAATTGCAACAGGCGCCAGAGTACCCGATAAGTGATGTGATGAATATGACAGATCCGAGGACGAACAATAATATCCCGATTGGAGCTGAAACGGTTCACAAGAGATAGATTCACGCATTTAAGTTGGGTTTTAGCGTCTGTGAACCCAAAAGACAAGCATTCCGTTTTGGTAGTTATGAAATAGATGGTTAATTTTCAAGTATACTTGAAGAAGCGTTTTTATAATCGGAGGTTGGCAGAAGTTTTAAACTAGTTGTCTATTCCATTTACTATTAGCTTGATGGGATTGTCCCATTACCACTAGCTTTATTTGATGTTATCTCGGTTCTTTAGTACTAGGTGGACTCTATCTCTGACAATAAATGATACAAACCTGTTGACAATCGAATACCTCAGATCCATCTGTCAGTTGTACACTTACATGTGGCAGTCAGTAACCGGCTGATGATCTCCGAATAGGCGCCGACCGTGCTGTCTGGAGAGATGGAATCAATAAACGGGTCCAGATAACGCTCCAACAATTGATGCACAATGGGTTGACCCCATATCATAATTCCACCGACTGTTACCAGGACCAGTCCAAAAAGCTGTGGAGCAAAGATGCCAAATGTTATTTAAAGTATTCGCATTTTTCAAACTGTTCGTATGTGATGCCGGATTGATCCTGTTGCATTTTAGGCAACACACCTAGTATGTATAGGCTGAAAAAGCAGTTAAATTGCTGCTTTTATTTAATACGTCAGGTAATGAGAAACTGTGCGAAATCATTTTATATTTGAAAATGTTGAAAATCGGAGCATAGCTGACGTAAATGTTTATGTTCTTCCTGTTCTTGCTAGTAGCAGCATTAGGAAAACTTTTACATTACGTAGTAGATAAGAAATACTATTCAACTGCTTCATTAGGTGATATAAAACAATTAGAGTTATTAGAATGCGAAACCTACTCACAATATTATTCCCTCTTTTCTCTCCTTGTGACTTACCGATGTGAGAAAGTTCACAGCAAATAGCACTATACGGCATGGCAAGTTACAAAGCATGTTTCTTCGGTTCGATCTTCGCGAGTGCTGCTAGAAGTGAAAAATAATCATGGATGAACACCAGTAATTATTAGTAAATAGAATACTTTTTCTAAATCTAGAACTGAACTACTGAGTGGTTAGCATAGGCAAACATGAAATCAATCTTTTTGAAAAAATGAATCTGTTACACGATAAACGATGGGTCAATGTCTCACTTCAGCGTATCTACTCTCGTCCCTGACTTCGGTGGACATATACAACAAATGTGTGATAAAATGAGTCCGCGGCGATCAAATTTATATTCGGCGAATGTTCATCCGTTGGTTTCATATCAATCAATGCGTTCATTAAGAACGTTTGAGTCCCTGTTTTTTGTTGTTGTTGAACCTGAGTCCGTTCGAGTGTGTTTCCATCACTGTAGGTGAGCAAGGATGGATGTGTGAATCGATACACAGTGTGCGCGTCATCAAGAGGAACTTTGTGCCCGCAGTTCTGAGGGCGTTTTAGTTATCCAGAATTGCACAAACCTGCTCGAGCTCATCAAATCAAGCGCCCATTAAGGGCAAGGTTCAAGATGGAAATTTGATCAATTTTCAAACACCCATATATTCTGCTTCCGTCAGGCGTGTTTGTATTGTACTTGGAAAACCTGCCTAAAGCAAATGAAGTTTAACATGGAGCAAATCATACTCCTTAAAATTATTTAACTTTCTTTACCTTATTGAATATGATTTTTCGTAGTACAATTATCAAATTCAATCAGTAGTGGATTCGAATACCAAACACTCATTGCGATTACTGAAACCAAGTTGACAGTATTGCTTCCGAATGGCGATCGTTTAGTTCGCTCTCATTTAAATCAGTTGATTGGTTAATCGCAAACGTACATGAACAAAACAGTTGATATGTTTTACTGGTTATTTCCCGGCCAGAACATTGTTTGACCAAATTGACGAAACCGACACAGCCTATAAGCTGAAAACGGAATTGTAGGAAATTCTATCTAAAGGCTATCTTAGAAAATCCATATGTATACCCGATATATGTCAAACATATTCGTCCAAATCTGTGAAATTTGAATTCAGTTAGTATTCAGTAATGGCGTTTGTAGGGAGTTATTGGAATGGCGCTTCGAAATAACCACCACTTGGACCTACGATAGTGCCTAATCATGCGTACTGCACATCTCATTCGTTTCTCGGATAGTACAAGCTAGATATAATTCATCCCTGGGTACCGGAAGCTAAAATAGGCAGAACGGAGCGACAGGTTTTCACTCGGAGTGATTAAGACGACTGGAGGTCACTTAAATTCCAATCATTGACTCATGTTATTTGGTCAAAAAACGATCACCACTTTAATGAAACCACTGCGTCTGCAATCATAGCCTCAACATTCGAGATGCATGAAATTCAGTTCGTAGACTGACCGAACATCAAACATCACCAGTAAGACGTATTTGGTTATCTTTTATATAATGAGCACGCGAACAAATCACAGACGGTTGATCGTTCATTGGGTATCACTATTTATGGCTATTGATTAAACAGTTAAAATGCTTCTTAGAAAAGAAACTGATTCATTACAACTAAATAAGAGAACTAGAGGAAAACTGAAATTGGTGATTCTGACTTGAAGGTGGAGGCTTTCAGTAAATCTCGATCATGGTGCTTCCCATGGGTGTGTATGGAATTGCGAGCAAAGGTAAAGTCGGGAGCATCAGCAGTCAAAATACATAGCACTTTTCAGTTATGTTGCCTGCTTCAGCATGAAGACAGAGAATTTCCAAAAAAATTAAACAAGTTCATTTTTGGCTGTTACCTCACAAACCTTCAAAACATTATCTGGTCAGAATTATCTATGCTGTTTGTTAGCAGTGGTTTTACTACCCTGATGGCCACATTTGTAATGTTACAAAGAGAAAGTAACGGTGATTCGACTCATGATGAATATATTAACCAATATATGTTACATAATATAGTATAATATATTATATAATATATATAATCAATATATAAATAAATCCACATCGGAATTCATTGAAAGAACAGAACCAAGTGTCAAGTCACTTACGAAATTTGGTAACTGAACATATCTGTTTCCTTAACACTTTGAAGTAGCCGTCAGTAGGAATTTAACCCATGGATATGTGATTTATGGATCTGTTCTATTTTCCTACTCAGAAGAGTAGGAAGCACAAATTCCTGCCTGCTGCTGTCATGATGCTACAGACAATCATATATTTCTGTCTGGTACTATTTCGAAGTTTTCATCTTGTGCTTGGTTACAGCAGCTTTTGCTGATGACCACCAAGTTTACGTTCCGTTACTCACTGTCGGAAGAGCAACCCATACAATTTCAGTATCGCTTACACTTAGTCAATTTTGATGTATGCTGTGTTTAACTGAGAGACGGTTCTGTGGTCGACAGACGTTTTTATTACACATAATGTGAATTACGGAAAACATTTACACAAGTTACACGATATTGAAAGGTATTCCAAATCGCTTAGACAATTGCTTGAAACTCCAGCGAATATCAACTTCTTACAGTAAATTAGTTCGCAAATCAATTACGCGGAACCGTACTGCAGCAGAATTGATCGAAGGGAATAGATTCAGGTGACTCAAAGGTTCAAAATAAGTGTTCACGGGAAACATATTATCCATCACTTATGCATTATTAGCAGAACGCTTTTCTTGTTTCCTTGATTTTAGACGGGGGAGGGGAGTATAAAGTATGATAATCGAGAAAATTGTCCTAAATCTAAATTTCCGAATATCCTTCAGCTAAAGCACTAGTTCCTTGTATTGCACATAACAGAAGTCAAGTTTCATCTAGGAGTTGATATATCTGCTTCCGACAGTAGATTGAAACATAACCGAATGTATCGCCTCACGTGACTTCATCCTTCGATCTTTTATGGTCCGATAACTTAGACAGTGCGTGTTATTGCTACGGAATGAGATCTGATTTCCGTGCAATTTGAAAAATATACCTGCTGGTGTGATTGATAATACCTTGATCTACTTCGCCTAAAAGAGACTAATTTTAAGGCAACAGCTTTTTGAAATGAGCTCTATTTCCCGTTATTTCAGTTTACCTTGGTGTGTTATCGATTTGCGTTCAGTTGCAGGCTGTACAAATGCACATCCAGTGAGTACCAATAGATAAATCATCGTACAGGCTCAAATAGACGTCGGATCGTTTTGTTAAGTTAGTTGAACGAATAGTATTATATGATTTTGGTTTCAATTAACGCAAGCGCGACATTCTCAAGATCAAATATTGTTTAACGGTTCGCCAAATTTGCATCCCAGTGTATTCTCTCGTCTGAAAATCCCTTTTCACCACATTTCCTTCGTTTTGAGGGACGTTACAATAGCTGAGAAACAAGAGTCGAGGACATCAGAAGTAAAATTGCACTGGTGGATGGGTGATTCTTAAGTGAAGTTATAGCAGCAGGATGAGGATTCGTTGTACCTATTCACGTGACATTCGTTCGTTTATGAGGGAATCACTCATGTTGAAATGCAAACCTAATACAAGACTGTAGGAGCTTAGTTACTCCAAGGAATTTCGATACATTCATGAATTGAAAAAATGACCATCTGGCACATTTCTCAATCTCTCATTGAGACAACAATTACAGTTACATTTGTCCAAAATCCCATGGCATATCTCGGCTGTACGCGTACTTGTCTGTGTCCTCCTCTTCCTGAACAATCATGTTTCGGTATCATCAACGAATCATTCTAGATCAAGATATGCCTTACGCTTATCCAGCCAGTGTGCTGCTAGCAGATAATTTTCCGTTTTGTCCCCATATAAGTACCAACACAACTGTTACCTTTCACGTACCGAACAAGCTAATTAAGTGTTGGACATTTCTGTGGAAAAAATAAACTACATCTATCAGACCTCCGAAAACAATTGCGTAGAGAAAAGAGCCATGATACAAATTGCAAAATAGTTACGCAATTTTACAATTAACTTTTAGTTTGAATTGTTACTTTGATAATCTATGCCGCTGAAAACATATGTTCATCTTACAAGGTAAGTCAGGATAATTCAGTCTAAGTTATCACGTTTGTACTTGTTTATTTTCAAATAGATCAGAAACATACAACTCTCAAATAAAACCAGCAGCATACGGGAATGTGCGCAAAAATGATAAAGTACCTTGAGTCACCTCCCCAAACGAGAAAAGTACAACGGCGGTTCTTTATATTGCGATTACTCAAACGCACATCAGTTTAAATAGGGTGAGTCAAACAGTGACATTTCTAGGGTGCTCTGCAGTAAATTGAAGTGATATTGGGGAGTCTTTATTTGATCCCTAGATACTTTGTTACGCAAAGGTCATAGATACGAAAGCCATATTGGGGTCAAGAATTCAACTTTTAACTTGCTCAAATGCTTTTTAACTTTACCACAGCAGAATAGTTGGAAGTTTTGTTCTTCTAAGCGTCTTTCCTTCAATAAATGTTGTTTTACGTACACATCTTTGTAACATAGCAGTTTTTGTTTGCATGGGGATAAATAATTTCGCGATGGAGCAATATTTTTTGGTTTTACCCGAGTGATAATACACAAGATATGTTTTTGTTCGATCCAGTTTCTTTCGTCAAAAAATATCATCTTACGCAGTCACTATATCACGAGGGTCGGTAATTTGGTCCAACTAGAGCAAACAGATTTGGTGAACAACTATTCTTTGAAATCTGAGATTCAAGTGTATAATGTGAAGCCTCAAATTCAATCGACATGAACTGAATCACAGTTAATGATATGGTTTCAAATGAAATAATTGTTTATGAGCAAATGATTTTGATATTTGCATTCGACCTATGCATTTTGAACACTCTGATCATCATGATTTCCGAAGATGTGTCTGAAAGCAGAATGACTCCAGTCACCCCTAAAATCAATATTTAATATTATTTTGTAGGAGTTGAACTTATGACACCAGTAAGATAGCTCGGTTTCAGATAACCGTTATATAATCTAAATAAAAA